CAGGTTGGAGGGGGCTTGGAGCAACCTGGTCTGGTGGGAGGTGTCCCTGCCCAGTGCAGGGGGTTTGGAACAAGATGATTGTTAAGGTTCCTTCCAACCCAAAGCATTCTGTGATGCCTTGCTGTCAAGAGCTCACGTGCATCTCAGCATTAACGAGGGTCAGGGCTGAGCTGGGAAACTGCTGTGATAACTGCAGACAGCTTTTCCTGCTGGAAAAGCCCTCGGGGGAGGCAGGATTTATCCATCTGTACGACACTGAGTGGTGCCGTCTCCTTTTCTTCTGCCCAAGGTCCTCAAGGATGGGGGTTTGCTGTCCCCAGTCATCACGCGGCTGATGAACTTCTTTTTCTTCTCCATAGAGCCCCTTCCAGTCCCTCAAGGGGCTCCAGGAGAGATGGGGAGGGACTCCTGATGAGTGAGGGGAGTGATGGAACAAAGGGGAACGGGAGATTGAGATGAGATCTGGAGAAGAACTTCTTTGCTGTGAGGGTGGTGAGAGCCTGGCCCAGGTTGGCCAGAGAAGCTGTGGCTGCCCCATCCCTGGAGTGGTTCAAGGCCAGGTTGGAGGGGGCTTGGAGCAACCTGGTCTGGTGGGAGGTGTCCCTGCCCAGTGCAGGGGGTTTGGAACAAGATGATTGTTAAGGTTCCTTCCAACTCTAACCATTCTGTGATGTCTTGCTGTCAAGAGCTCACGTGCATCTCAGCATTAACGAGGGTCAGGGCTGAGCTGGGAAACTGCTGTGATAACTGCAGACAGCTTTTCCTGCTGGAAAAGCCCTCGGGGGAGGCAGGATTTATCCATCTGTACGACACTGAGTGGTGCCGTCTCCTTTTGCTCACGTGCATCTCAGCATTAACGAGGGTCGGGGCTGAGCTGGAAAACTGCTGTGATATGTGCAGACAGCTTTTCCTGTGGGAAAAGCCCTTGGGGGAGGCAGGATTTACCCATCTGTACAATACTGAGTGGTGCCATCTCCTTTTCCCCTTCTGCCCAAGGTCCTCAAGGATGGGGGTTTGCTGTCCCCAGTCATCACACGGCTGATGAACTTCTTTTTCTTCTCCAGAGGGTGAGTCAGGTCCCCATCCTGCTGGGCATAGTCTGGATGGGGGATGTGAGCCATGTGGGGAGGGGGCGAACATAGGAAGGGGAGCAGATCCCTTGGCACTGTCCTTTGGAGAGATTTGTCCCTGGATTTGATACCACAGTATCCTCCTGGAGAAACTGGCTGCCCATGGCTTGGATGGGAATACCCTCCACTGGGTTAAAAACTGGCTGGAGGGCCAGAGTGTGGTGGTGAATGGAGTCAAATCCAGCTGGTGTCCAGTCACAAGTGGTGTCCCACAGGGCTTGGTACTGGGGCCAATTCTCTTCAACATCTTTATCAATGATCTGGATGAGGGGATCGAGTGCACCCTCAGTAAGTTCGCGGATGACACCAAGCTGGGTGGGAGTGTTGACCTGCTGGAGGACAGAGAGGCTTTGCAGAGGGATCTGGACAGGGTGGATGGATGGGCTGAGACCAACGGGATGAGGTTCAAGAAGGCCAAGTGCCAGGTCCTGCCCTTGGGTCACACCAACCCCCTGCAGCGCTACAGGCTGGGGGCAGAGTGG